CAATACTAATTTTATTAAGCACTGACTATATACTTTGGTGATTAATGTTATTCAGAGTACGGCTTGGTGACCTAGTTTTCCTTTTATCATTACTGGTTTCATTAATACTCAGTAGAAAAAAAACCTTCCTATGCCTTCATATAGATTGCAAGGGTTTACTAGGAATCAAACTACGTGTTTATTATTTTAGGAAATGTTAGAAAAGTGAGACTGGCATTAAATGGAAATATTATTTCCCCCTTACGAGACAGAGATGGAGGGATGTAGGATCTGGCTGTGGAGGAGAAGGACGGTAGAGGAGCTATATACCCAGGGAATCCTAACAAAAAGACATTAGACACACCCTCCCAGACGAGTTCTATAGTGTTATGTCCACACTAGAGAAGGAACTGTAAGATTAGAGTTCAAATATGACCTGGTGATAAAACGAAGCTCATAAATGTGTTTATATTTACATTTAAGGTGTCTTTAATAGATCCCTCAAAAACCTTAACAAATTAAAATTATGATGCAATATAAGTGTATCTGCTAATAATTGTCAATAATTATGTACACCTTATGAGGAAGGAGACAGTTGTGGTAGAGTAGGAAGAGAAGTAAGCATACAGCCAGTTAATAAGGCAACATATGTGAAAACAGAACTACAGACTCAAAAGGATCATATAAACATTAGTTACAATTTTTTTAAAAAGATTTTATTTATTTATTTATTTGATATGGAGAGAGAGACAGTGAGAGAGAGAGAGAGAGAGCACAAGCAGGGGGAGCAGCAGAGGGAGCGGGAGAAGTAGGCTCTCGACTGAGCAGAGAGCCCAATGTAGGGCTCGATCCCAGGACCTTGGGATCAGGACCCGAGCCGAAGGCAGACACTTAACAGTGAGCCACCCAGGCCTCCCTACAACTATTTTTATTATTGATTTGTCACCAAACAGAAATTTAAAACAAAGTTGTGTGTGTGTGTGTTTGTGCGTGTGTGTGTGTGTGTGTGTGTGTGAGAGAGAGAGAGAGAGAGAGAATATCAGTATTCAATCAGAACAGTTTGATTATAGTAAAACTTGAATGCAGGGTCTCTCAACTTCAGCACTATTGAGATTTCAGGCTGAGGCTTTGCTGGGGGGTGGGGTCTGCCCCATACATTGCAGGGTGTTTACAGTACCCCTGATCTTTACCCACTCGGGGCCAACAAAACTTCTCCCACTTCCTCCCTCAATTAGTGACAGCTAGAAATGTCTCTGGACATGACCAACCAGGGCAAAACTGCTCCTGGCTGAAAACCAGGTTAAAGCATAAGAATAATGTAGAAATTACGGTTCTCCTACACAAATTGAGAATGAGAAGACAGCCCATGTGACCTAGAGTGAAGATGTCCCTCACCGGGCACATATGGCTACTGAACACTTAAAATGTGGCCAATCTGAATTGAGATACACTGTCAGCGTACAATACATGTTAGATTAGAAGACTTAGTATGAGAAAATGAATGCAAAGTATTTTCATAAATTTTTATATGCTTCTCCTTCCAGGACCTCTATAATGCAAATTAAAAAATAATAATAATTTTATATGGATTACATGCTAAAGTGATATTTTAGATACAGCAGGTTCAAATAAAATACATTATTAAAATTATGTTATTATTTATTTTGAAAAACGTGGCTACTAGAGAAGTTCAAATTACACACGTGGCTCATGTTGTACTTCTATATTTCAATCAGACAGTGTTGAACTTGTGCAAAAAAACTATCCCCCCTTCGTGCTATATATTCTAGGCAGCCTTTGATGACAAGGAAAGGAACTAAAAGAGCTCTGTCCTCAGTTTTCTCCTTACAGTTTTCTCTATATCCCCTTGGATGATCTCCAGTCTCAACACTTCGATGATACTCTCCAAACTCTCTCTCCTATTAAAAGCTCTACTAAAACCTAGATCCAGGGCACCTGGCTGGCTCAGTTGGTAGAGCATGTGACTCTTGACCTTAGGGTTGTGATTCTGAGCCCCACAGTGAGTGCAGAGATAATTAAAAATAAATGAACTTAAAAAAGAGAGAGAGAGAGATCCCTATAATACATAAATAAAACCTAGATCCATATACCCACTACCAACTTAACAACCCCACTCGGACATTCTGGAGGAACCCCAAATTTAAATGATCCTCATTCCGAAAAAGATTGTTCCAGGAGTCCCCATTTAAGTAAATGGCCCCATTAACTAGGTTCTCAAGCCAGAAACCTCAAAGTTGCCCATGACTCCTCTTCTCCTTCATCCCACTCACAATCTCTTGTGAAGTTCTACTTCATTTACTTCCTAAATACTTCTGGACTCCTCCTTTCTCCTACCCCAGTGACAGGGCCATGTCACCATCACTTACCCCGTATCAATCCCCTCTTTCCTTTACATTCTTATTACACCCTGCCCTGCCCTTCTCAGAAGTGCTATCTTTCCTATTAGACATCATACTATATGAGGTCAGGCACTTTCCTGTTCATTGCTGTGTCTCTAGTTTTTTCACGAATGGATGAGTGAATGAATGAATGAGTGAGTAAGTAAAGAGGGTACAAATTGCTAGCTCACAGGTTACAATTTACTAAGGAGCTGAATTATGAAACAATGGTTCCACTTGCATATGAGGACTGGAAAACATCAGTCTTCAAGTCTCAATGCAGTGCGGATGTGCTGATACAAGTCCTAGGATTCTAGAAGTGGGGAAAAAGTGGTTGGGAACCATGTGCCCTGTACTCTCATCCTTGACAGATCTCTACTGTGCCTAAGCTCACATGGTAAACTTTCTACATGCTGAGTCGGGAAAGACCAGCTGAAGAATGCCTTTTATAATCCTCCAGCCCTCTGGGAAAAAGATGCCTGACATTTTCCATCTTCAATGTCACAGTCCCAGAGTATCCACAGTTTCAAAGTTACGCAGTGAAAAGAAGCTAAAAGTTATGCAAAGCTTATAACAGTCATGAGCTATTTCTGAAAGAAAATCATTCTCCAAGATTACAAGTTCAAGATAAGTCTCGTTTCTTCTCCTTAGGGATCCTCAATCTACCTCCATGCATAAGCCAGCCTTTATCCCCCAGTCATCACATGACTAGTTTGAAAGGGGTGAGGATGGACTATGGCAGTATCTATCCTTACTAGTAAGTTACAGCTGCTACTGATGAGGAAGTTTTAAGAAGTCAAGAGCTTTATAGATGTTACTCTAGCCTAGCCAGAACTAGGCTAAAGAAAAGGAACTTGAAAAAGAGTCCAGGAATACATGTATTTTGAGAAGAACACGTAGATACAGAGGCAAAAATCAAACCCGTGTCTCCATTCACCTTTTGCCACGGGCTCTCCCAGAAGCGGTAAAGTAGCAGTGTGGGTAGGAAGAGCACGGGGCTATGTGAAACAGACCAGGCAGGAGCGGAAGCAGATAGTGCGTCAAAGTCAGGAGGAACTGCAGGTCCAAGGTTACGGAGGTAGGCTACGTGCGTTTAACTCGTTTCTTTTCTTGCCTTAGGCAGAAATTACATAAAAGACCATTCTTTTATAGAATGAAGAATGGAGGTTAGGTCTTGACTAAAGAAATGTTAGGAAACTTTTTAAAAAAATATTTTCTCTTTTTTTTTTCCTCCTTTGATAACCCCTCAAAAGAAAACGATGGCAAATTACCAGGTTAACACCAATTTAGCCAGTGGGATAAAGAGATTTAGCGAAGAAGCAACTTTTTTCCAAACTAGATGCTGTTTCTTTCTGGAAAGGACTCAAAAAATGGCGGGTAACTTTCCAAAGCCCCCATTTCCCCTTAAAATCTGGTGAATCTTTTCTGTAATAATTTCCAACACTTGTCCCACCTCAGCAAAAGCACTGGTTTTCATAATGAAAGAAACAGAAACATGGCTGAGGTATAACAAAAGGGAGTAGCAGACTTAGGAAAAACAAACAGAATCCCCACTGTATCACAGTTCTCATGAGACCTTAGACAAGTCTCTCAGCCACGTGTTCGCAGCTTTGGTGAGCTCATTGCCAAAGTACGAAAACTGGTTCAGGGGTGGGCAGTGTGAGATCTTATGCTTTGTCTGTTAAAGCACAGAGATACATATAGTACAGAAATAAGACTTTCAGTGTACCTGTGGTGTTAAAATTTCATTGGGGGGGGGGCCCTGGGTGGCTCAGTGGTTAAGGCCTCTCTCTTCGGCTCGGGTCATGAACCCAGGGTCCTGGGATCAAGCCCCGAGTCAGGCTCTCTGCTCGGCGGGGAGCCTGCTTCACCCCCTCCCCACCGTCTCCTTGTGATCTCTCTCTCTCTGTGTCAAATAAATAAATAAAATCTTGAAAATAAAAATTTCATGAGAGGGAAGATGAGGGGAAAATAATGTTGAAAAAGCCTCCTTGGATAAGAGGAGGGTAGTTAACGAACAGAAAGCTGAGAAACACTTCCCTTAGCCTTCATTTCTTCAACTGTCAAAAAGGGTCAGCATCACCCACCTTAAAGAATTATTATGTTATAACCATATCTAAATACACACAAAAGAGGGGCACTTGGGTGACGCAGTCAGTTAAGCAGCCGGCTCTTGATTTTGACTCAGGTCATGATCTCAGGGTCCCAGGACTGAGCCCTCCATCATGCTCTGAGCTCTGTGGGAAGTTCTGCTTGAGACTCTCTCCCTCTACCTCGGCCCCTCTCCCGCACATGCATGCATGCGCTCTTCCTCTCTCTGTCTCTCAAATAAATAAATCTTTAAAAATACGTACATATATACAAAAGAGAATGAGAGACAGAAAATACAGCAGACAGAGAAAATAACCAAAACTGTAAAAAGTCATTAAAACACAACTAAAAACAAGGACCCAAATGTATATAATGTCATCTCACAATCAATTGTAATAAAAAGACAATTTTCTTCTCACTACTCATTTTACTGACTGGATACCTAAGATCTAAAAAGAAAACATGCAGTCATAGTAAAAGTGAAATAAGAAAAGTGCAAGATGAAGCTATAAATGTGGCAAAGATACAAACCTAAAACACCAATTTTAAGATCTGCCAAGCTTGTTTTAATTTTATCATAAATATCTTCTGATGCAAAGTCAACAGCGATGGTTCTTGTTTCCACCTTGAATTTTTCTCCTAGAGAAAAAAACATAAATAGAGAGAAGGAAAATTATAACATGGCAATTAAGATTAAAGCATTTTATGACACTACCTATTCAAACTCATCCCGCAGCCCCAGTCTGATATGAAATTTAGACCAGAATCATGTTAAGCAATCATGAGACCATCTAAGAGATGATACAGAGTCAACACAGTAATTCTTCAATAAAAACTCCAATGTTGTTTCGGAGCTGGCTGACTGTTCCTTAATCAGTTCTCCTTCTATAAATCAATAATGACTCCTTTTTAGACCCTTAGGTACAAATAATAAAACATGTTTCATACCATAATGTTATATACTCTTTAAATATCACTGGTTTCGTGATTTTTAACTGCAAAGTGATACTTCATAATTTCAGACAGAAGTGTTTATGTTGCAAAATGTTTTAAACAGTGATAAATAAAAATCCATCTTATTAAAATGGAAATAAAATGAATATGATCATCATGGAATTTAGGGCCTTGGTTAATAGTTAATGGTCACCACATGAAAAACACCCACACAAAATGCACAGTGAACAGAGCTACAAAGTGACAGAAGACAGACCTCGGTGTTCTGCTATGCTCAGGATGACGGAAGTACACACAGAGCTAATGGAAATCACACGTTGAGAAACAGGACTCTGAAGAAACCAACTTATTGATGTAATGTCAAATGTTACTTTCACTCTCTTTCGTGAGCCCATTTGAGAAGGCATGATCTGTGAGGTCTTCCAGTCACAGGTACCAATTTTATTTTCGTATCTATTTGCTAAATAACTGAGTAATAGTCAGATATCCTCCATGAGCCTCAGCATCCTCTCCTGAAAATGAAAGTAATGCTACCCAACCCATGATCCGAGGCTCAAATAGTATCTGGTGGTATACAGAAGGCACTACATAAATGTTAAGTCTCCTCTCTCCTCCACTAACCCCACACTCACTTCACCTAGTGCAGTTCAGGTGGCTAAAAATGTTTACTCTTTGGAACTTGATGAGAATTCAAAAGAATTAATTTAAAAATCCTTCTTCCAAAAAATAAATTTTTCTTCATTCAAAGTCGATGTTGGCTCATCTCAGAGGATGGAATGTTACTCCATATAGGATGCTACCATTCTTGATCTAAAAGGAGTTCTGCCTACAACCAAGCTGGTTCACAAGAGTTCTGGTTCTTAGTCTTAGTGAGAAGTATTGACCTGAGGTACGAATCCATGAATTAACTGAAGAGGAGAATATGTGACCTAGAAAATTCCGTATATGGTGTTGGGGCGCCTAGGGGCGCCTGTGCCTTTGGCTCAGGTCACGATCCCAGCATCCAAAGATCAGGCCCTACGTCAGGCTCCCCACTCAGGGGGGAGTCTGCTTCTCCCTCTCCCTCCCCGTCCTTCTCTCTCGAACTCACGCTCTCTCAGATAAATAAATAAAATCTTAAAAAGACACACTTACAATCCCAGGATAAATGAGTTATTGTATGTATTCATGTAATGGGGAGCTACAGACTGGGCTGTCATTTCACAAAAGCTCATCCAACAGGTCTTACTATAAATGCTTCACAGGATTTACCACCAGTAAGTAGAGAATGCTGCCCTTATTAGAGCCACAGATTCTCAAGGAAAAAAAGACCCAAATCAAAAGGCTGAAGGATACCTTTTATTAAATGTAAAACTTCGTTCAGGAATGAAATGAGATAAATTTATCTATTTATTTTGAGAAAAACAAAGTATGCTTCCACATGAGTGCTATAGACTGACATTTAAGAAAATTCTCTCTAGTAATAAAAGCTACCTCACAACTCCTGAATCAGATTTACTCTTTTAAATCTCACAGGATTTGGGGGGTGTACTTATAATGTAGAGTCTTGTATAGATAGGCTGCTAAACCTATTCAGAGACCCTTTTGGAAAGAATGTCATTTTATTTAATAAGAACCCACGAGTAAGCTTTTCTTTGTACTCACATTTGGATAAGCAAAATGGCTACTGATGCAAGCTCTTCAAAATAAATCCAATTTTGAACTTGCTCCTGGATTACCCTGAATCATGTCCGAGTCCAGTTAACACTGCTTTTCTACCTTTTTGCCATTGCCTCCAGCACGAGCTGCTGCTTCTGCAATTTGGGCTGTCTGATCACCTCTCCAAGCCCCTCACACACTCTCAGAGCTCCAGCAGCTTTGGTAAGAGTCATAGTCTGTGGCAATGGCCTAATATTGCTCTTAACTGACCTCCACCTCCCTACTCTTCTCACTGTCCCGGGCTCTAGCCACACAGGCCCTGAGCATTCTCTCTCTTTTTTAAATATTTTATTTATTTGAGAGAGAGGGAGCATGCGCACACGTTATGAGGGGTGGGGGGAAGGAGGAGAGGAAGAGGGATAAGCAGACTCTCCGCTGAAAGCAGAGCCCTTTGCAGGGCTCAATCCCAGGACCCTTGAGATTATGACCCAAGCCCAAATCAAGAGTCCGATGCTTAACAACTGAGCCACCCAGATGACCCTTGAGCAATTCTTCAAGCTCAGAATAACCCCCAAACACATTCAGGGCTTTTGCACTTACTGTTCCCTCTGCCTGCAATGCTCTTCCACATCCCTTGTTTCTGTTGGGTCTTAATTCAAATGTTACCTCCTCAGGGAAGCTTTCCACTCCTCCACTAGCATGCATCCCTTGCCCCCACCCCCCAGCCCCGGCTTTATTTCATTCCATGGCACTTAACCATCTTCTTAATAACACATGCATGTTTGTTATCTGCCTCCACCAGAATTAAGCTTTGTGAAGACAAGAGCTTGAGTCTATTTTATTCAGTTGTTCAACAGTATCACAAAGGATCCAGGGTCTTTCCTCCCTCCTCTCTTATTCCATTAGGCTGGCTCCCCATCCTGGTATCATGAGGGCCACTGCCCTTCCAAGTATCCCATACAGATGGCAATGTGCAATGGCAGAAATGGGACAACCTGTTATATGTCCCTTTTATAGAGTGAGGAAAACTTCCCCCAGAGTACAGCAAACTCCCCTCACATTCCTTTCCCAGAATTATGAGATATGCATGCTCTTGACCTGGTCTGTAGATGGGCTTCACGGATTCCGTGAACCGTCCCCACTACCATCACCAAGTTGAGTGAGACATGTATAGAAGAACAGGACAGGACATACTTCACTCTCTGGGTCCAGGCAATCAGGAGAGAATTCTGATGAGTGTTCCAAAAAGCTGAGATGGGAGATAACTGGCTTCTTTGGGGAACTGAGGAAATAAATCTAGGCATCTCCTCCTTTCCCATAACCCACCAGCCCTCACCTGACCCTGCCAGCAGAAGCCAACACAGACGAACGAACATCCTCTAATTTTAGGATATATCAAAGCACCTGGAACACATAGGAACCCATAATACAGCTTTCATTTCCACCTTCACCCCCTCCCTAAACCCTGGCTCTTCTTAAGACCACCATAAGTCCACACCACTCAGCAACAACCCACTGATGGGGAAGAATAAGAACTTAATCAAAGACTTGGAGAGGTTACTTTTGAGTACTCTGATCCTTGCCCACCACAAAGGCACAAGGCATGACAGCTGTAAATAAATAAAAATATACTGTAAGTATAGGATAAAGATAAACAAACAGTGAATTTGAGTATTCCAATGGAAAGACACAGCCCCTCAAATGTCCCTTCGAGGAAATTCTGGTTGCCCCAGCTGCAAGAGCGTCATCGGCAGACAGCGTTCAGGTGCCAGGCCCTTCAGGGATTGCCTCGGTTTCAGAGAGCTGCCCGGACCCAGATCGTGCCTCTCCCATGACATCGACATCCAATGACTGACCGAGGTGGGAGTATAAAGCCATTGGACAGCTTGTACCTGCCAGCTTCTGATTCCAAATTATGGTCTATTCACTATCCTATTTTCTGTTCTTTCATCATGCCCTGATTATAATTATTCTAGCTTTAAGACAAGTTTTAATATTTCTAGTGGTGCAATTTTCTTCATTATTATTCTTTCAAAGGTTTATTGGTTATCCTTACTTGTTTAGTCTGTTTTCACTGGGGTTACATTAAACATTTCAATTAAATTTATGAAGGATGACAATGTAGCATTCGCTCCAGGCTCTCCATTTACTCAATGTCTCAGGGTAAAATCTGGTGGTTGTAAATTCTTTAAGAAATTAAAGAACTAAAGGATGCTGTTATTAGAATGTTACACACCGTTTTGCAAAGATACTCAACACTGTTGATTATTCCTACCGTCAAAATGCTTGGTATTTGAAATTGAATAGGTTGGCATCTTACTACTTACAATTGTGGCCAAATACAATTATGCCCTCCTCCCTTTTTGCAGACTGAAGCGATTCTGAGATGGTCTTGGCCCACTGTTTCTCGACCTAGTGACAAAGACCAAAACCTAAGAAGCAAAGAGCTGATGAGTGGTATGAGCTGTTCATGGCAGCCAACTCACCAGAAATGGAGGCAAATAATCAGCTCTGGCTTGCAGGGAACGCAGCTAAGAAATAGCTGGGATGATACTATTATTCCTTTTTATCTACTAGTCCACTGAAAGCTACCCTACTACAATAGTAGAATAAGAGGAAGAAATATTATTTATAACTAGAGAGCTATATAACACCGAATATCCTCACAGCCCCAAGACATTCCACCACTTCCAAGCATGGATGTCCTGCTCCTCCAGTTACGTGGCTGATTTTTACTCAGAGGATTATAAATTAGTTCAAGGTCAAGTACTGAAAGGACAGAGAAAAGACTGCACTTATCAGTAGTCTCAAGATGTTGCTGACACCTCTCAGTATTAAAACTTACACACCTTTAGGTTCATGCCTACAAATATTCTGAAACATACTCAGAGTAGCCTTTTGTTTAACATACTTCTAGGTCTGGCCATCATTATTTTTATTTTGCTCAAAAAATTGACATCTCTTAACTTTAACAGTCTTCCCCTAAGAATAATTGTGTAAGTCTTAGAAAGACTCCTCATTTTTCCTCTGGGTGCCTAGGGGAAGGG